CAACAAGTTTTCTCGAGAAATGAGTATCGGGTCTCACAGTCGGTAAACTTTTTGCTAAGGTAGTAAATGGCATGCTCTTTTCGGCCAGACTCGTCATGCTGCCCCAGCACACACCCCATTAAAATGTCTAGCACTGTCAAGTATAAAATCAAAGGTCTTCCTTCAACTGGAGGCATCAAAATTGGCGGTTCTTGAAGGTATTCCTTGATTCTTTTGAAAGCGGTCTGGAATTCATCATTCCATTTTACCACTTGATCCTTCTTCAGCAGCTTGAAGATTGGCTCGCAAGTAGCAGCCAGATGTGAAATGAACCTGGCGAGGTAATTCAAACGTCCCAAGAAACCTCTAACTTATTTCTCCGTGCGGGGAGCTGGCATCTCTTGAATGGCTTTTACCTTTGCAGGGTCCACCTGAATACCTTTATCACTGACGACGAAGCATAAGAGTTTACCAGACCTTACCCCGAAGGTGCACTTGTTCGGATTCAACCTCAGCTTGTATGTCTTTAACCTGTCAAACAGTTTCTGGAGATGATCCAGGTGCTCTTCCTTAGTCTGGGACCTGGCTATCATGTCATCAACATAAACCTCGATCTCATGGTGAATCATATCGTGGAACAAAGCGACCATGGCGTGCTGATAAGTTGCCCCAGCATTCTTCAACCCGAAAGGCATTACCTTGTAATAGAAGGTGCCCCACTGTGTAACGAAGGTGGTCTTCTCCATGTCCTCAAGAGCTATCTTGATCTGGTTGTAGCCAGAAAAACCGTCCATGAAAGAGAAGATTTTATGCTGCACGGTGTTGTCGACCAAAAAATCGATGTGAGGAAGTGGGAAATCATCCTTGGGGATTGCCCTGTTCAAATCTCTATAGTCCACATACATCCGTACCTTACCGTCCTTCTTAGGTACTGGAACAATGTTGGCAACCCATTACGGATAAGAAGTGACGGCTAAGAACCCTGCGTTGAACTATTTCATGACCTCTGCTTTGATTTTCTCTGACATTTCGGGGCGCATACGGCAAACTTTCTGCTTTATCAGAGGACAATCCTCTTTGGTCGGCAGACGATGTACCATAATATCAGTGTCCAAACCAGGCATATCTTCGTAGGACCAGGCGAAGATCTCAACATAGTCGCGTAGCATTTGTATCAACTGTTGCTTGACACTAGGCTGCAGATTCACACCTATTTTGACCTCTTTCATGTCTTCCTCTGTACCCAAATTCACTGACTCAACCGGCTCTTCATGAGGCTGTATGGCCCTCTCTTCCTGCTCTAACAGTCTAGAAAGTTTTTCAGGCACCTCACAATCATCCTCACCTTCGTCCTTGGCTTGGTTGATCGGATTTTCGAAGTCATAAATGGCAGTAGCAGAGCTGTTATCAATGGGATCCAGAGTGGGTATGGATCTGCAGTATGATACGTGAGTGTGTGTAAGAGAATAACTGTTTTGATAAAGTGAGAGACAGAAAAGAAAAATAAGGAGCGCAAAATTTGTATGCAAGAAACGTCCAATGCTTTATTAATAATATATGAAATGACAAATAATAGCCCTCACAAGCAAAGCCAAGGTGCCTTGGGCAAGGCACCGGGCCGTAAAGTTTCAAATTGTTTATTACAAATCTTAAAACAAATGAGTCAATTACTGCGGAATAAAAGAAATAGGTATGAAGTCCTTCGCCGTCCAATTGTTTAGTCCACCATTGGTTGTTGGGTAGATCCAGTTGTCGATGTCTGAATCTTCTTCACTATCCTCAATTGCATTAACTCCCTGATTGATGATGTGCAGAGGAGGTCTTCCAATCCGTGCGTGCCTAACAGCCCTTTGAGCCCCTGTAGTAAAACCCAAACCAAATTTGTCAGTTTTGTGAGTGAAATCAAGGAGCTGACCCCAATTGGTACACCCACCTTCTTCAACTACAGCCCTGGCGTCCTTGAGAGAAGCCATCTTCAGCGGAGGTTTGTTGGTAGTAACTTCAGTTGATGCCAAGACCTGAGGGACCTCTTCGAAATTTTGACAAGGCGCTTCTATGAATTCCCCGTCCATCTCCACATAGCGGAAGGAATTGAGATGGCTCACCATATACTCCTCTTCACCTCGTACCGTGACAATCTTTCCCTTCACTGGATATTTCAGTATTTAATGGAGCATGGAAGTAACTGCCCCAGTCCTATGGATCCAAGGACGACCCAATAAGCAAGAATACGATGGTCTGATATCCATCACGTAGAAGGATGACCCAAAGGTCTGAGAACCCACTTTGACAAGGATGTCCACCTCCCCGTGCACCATTATTTTTTACCCATCAAAAGCCCTTACCATAATGTTACTTGGCTTTAGAATCAAACCTTCACAATCCAGACGGTCCAGTGATTTCTTTGGCAGAACATTCAGTGAGGACCCGGTATCTACCAACACATGGGACATAGTGGTGCCCCTGCACTCGATCGAGACATGCAGAGCATCATTATGGTTTCTCCCCTTAGGGGTCAGATCCGCATTTGAAAAACCTAGCCCATTGTCAGCAGTCAGGCTGGCCACACAATCTTTGAACTGATCTGCTAAAGTTTCCTGCGGCACATGTGCAATTTTGAGAAATGCAATCAAAGCCTTTGCATGGGCTTCAGAACATAACAGCAGAGACAACATGGAGATCTTTGACGGGGTCTGCCCCAACTGTTCGACCACATTGTAGTCGCTTTTCTTGATAATCTTCAGTATTTCCTCTATTTCTTGTTTAGAGGTTTCCACGACGATCTTTTTAGGTGCCTCCGTCTGGGCAGGCTCACCTATGATTTCTTTGCCCCGAGTCCCTGATGGCTCAGAAGCAGGGGTGATAACTGGAGCAAGAATAGGAATAGTAGCAGGTGTACTAACTGGAGTAGGAACAAGAGAAATGTCAGGAGTGCTGGTTAGAGCAACAATTGGAATAATAGTAGGCTTCATGATAGTCTTTGGGGAAATCTCGGGAGAGAAGACCCTTCCACTTAGGGTAACTTTACTAGTCCCGAAAATATTACTGACATCAGTATCAACTTCTTCAATCTTCAGATCTTGCTTAATACCATGATAATACACGTCAGCACCGTAATTCCATGGGACAGCCTTATCTGAGGTGTACAAGATGGGACCAGGAGCAGTGATTATTAGCGGAGCAATTCTTGGAACAAGTGTAATCCTAACAGGTTTTCTCGAGGAAACCTTGGAAGGATTGACAGAAATGGTTATAATGGAAACGTCTTCAGCGGGAACAACAGGAATCATAGTCTTCTCGAACAAAATCTCTTTATAATCCATCAGGTGCTGAACATATGACTTCAACAAACAGAAACCAGTAGGTATAATCAAACACATGTGGCAACCTTCACCACAACCCAGAAATAAATCGGCCAACAATAAATTCTTCTTAACAGTCATAAGAGGAGTAGAAATTTCTTCAACAGAGGTCACAAACAAATCAGTGTCAACAACATTAACTCCATGACCATGTTTGGGCATGGGAGCAGTTATAACATTCAGCTTTTTTGGAGCATTAAAATCTATCTCCATGGCTTCAAGCAATTCTTGTACTTTGTTTCTCAGAGCCCAACAATTATTTGTATCGTTGCTTGGACTCTCAGAATGGTAGGCGCACCGCGCGTTGGGATTGTATCTGGGAGAAGTAGTGTTTGGATTCTTGGGAGCCTCTTTCAAGGTTACCAAGTTGGATTTCAGCAGGTGTGGTAATGTTGTACCCCAATTTTTGACCTAAGATCCCATTTTTATTTTTTGCATTTTTTAAGATAAGTCAAGGTCACAAAATACGGTCGGTTTTAATGTCTCACCTTCGAGCTTTGACTATGCGAAGATTGTCAAGTGTTTTGAACATTTTTAGCATATGTATCACTAATTTCTAATCGCATACAAAGGTGTATGTTCATGTTTTCTTTTGTGTCATGTGCAGAGACAGGTCTAGATCAAGAGCATCAAGTGTCACGCCTCAATTAAGGTTTTGAGTCTCCCAAGCCAAAAGTACGGCTGATTATGGATTCTCGAAGACTGATTCATCAAGGCACAACTGTCGCACCCCATTTTTCGCCCCTTCACTTTTTTCGACTGGTGCATATTTTGTCGTTAATTTGAAAAATCGATCATTTCGCATACTTTCTTGTTTTTATTCATCATTTTAATTTCTATTTAAAAAAAAAGAATTAAAATAGTTTATCATTTGCATTTTCTATCATATTTCCAATGAATTTGTTTTAGTTCAAAAATCTGTCTTATTATTATTTTTTTCTTATTTTTATCTATTTCTATTTCTTTTAGATATTACTAACTATTTTCCCTTTTTCTCATTATTATTATTATTATTATTATTAGTATCTTTATTGCATTTTATTATTTCAACTTTTATTGTTACTAATTATTTTTATTTTTGTTCTCATTATTGTTATTATCATTGTTGCATTTTATTATTTTATTTTATTTATTGTTACTAATACTTTTTTCTTCTTCTTATATTATTGTTACTATTATGTTATTATTTGTTTGTTTTTGTCAAAAATAGAGAAAGAAAATTGCAGAGTGGGACCACATCAATATCATCACACGATTATTCATAGGACAAGTTCATGATTTTTGCAGCAATAACAAAACCGGATATCAAACAAATCATTTTCTAACTATTCATCATCCATTATTCAAACTCATTCAATTCTCAAGACATCTCAAAAATATAATTTCAAAGTTCCAAATAACCTTTGTCTCATCCATTTGCTAGTTGCACAAGTTTAAATTCCCAAATTACATTTAATCAAGCTCTAAGTCAAAATTACAAGTTACCACAACAATTTTACACAAGTGTTTGTACAAGAAAACAAAAATCTAAACCTAAAGCTAAGACTTGTTCTTGATCTGAAATTCTGCCCAAATAATGCCAAAAGTATGCTGCACTACTGTTCCAAAAGTATGCTGCAATGCTGCCCAAAACCTGTGAAGTCATGCTGCTGCACCTTGCTACTGCTTTGATGTAAAACCTGCACCACAACTTGCCAAAAACCTGTCCAAGGACAGTCCAAATGTAGCACGAAAGTGGAAAAATACAAATCCTGCATCAAAAAGGAAAAATCAGCATACCACATTTGTCCAAGACTCACAAATTTTCCCCCCAAAAATTCATTCTGATTAAATATACAAAGACAAGAATACATAAGAGAGAAGAGGGATAGAAAAAAGGGAGAGGGGATTCAGCACGAATATTTGTTCAATCTTCTCCAAAACTCAAAACAGATACTCACCATTTCCATCATGACTGTTATTCTTTAATCTCCAACATAACACAACCTACAATAGGGCCATCAAAACCAGACTCAACAATAACTCAAACATCACAGTAATAACCATCAAACACAAGAAAATCTCACAGCAAAAATACACACGAGAAAACTAATAAAACTCGGGAAAAGCTCAGAGTTCACAGAAAAAACTTGCAACAGAAAAAGCAGTTACAAGAAAACTCACCGAGAGAATTTCTAAAAATTCACTCTCTGAGAAAGCTTCGACAGCGGCACTCAAATCATCAAACAACCTTCAATCTTGAAGCCATTGCAGCCGCTTCATCATCTTTCATCATCATCAAACAACAACTTCAACACTGAACTTCATCGTCTCTGCTCCGTAACCGATTCCTCATCAATCTGCATCGCATCTCCATCACACTTGGAATCAACAAGTATCAGCAACAATCTATACTTTTGTTCTTGCTACGCACATCAATTTTGCAAAGCAAGAGCAACAACAACATCTCACAGAAGCACAGAAAATCACAGAAGCGGAGCCATGTAAATTACCTAAAGATTTGCGGATTTCAATTCATTTTCATCACACTTGAAAATCCGTTAGAGCAATCTGAAAAGTAAGTGTTTCTCCTTTCATTTCTCTTTGCGTGAACACTGCGTATTTCTGTAATTTGGCGTTGTTAGTGTTGAGATATGAGAAGGAAGCATTGAGAGCGGCGGAGAAAGCGAGAGGAGGAGGTTTCCGCCGCGGTTTGTGAGAAGAATATGAACAGATACGAAACATTACAGAGAGGAGAAGTGGAAGGCAACGAGAGACGTGATGAGGAGAGGTTGAAGGTGAGCGATTGAAGAAGTATCGACATCGTTTAGAAGCATGAAGAAAGGAAATGGAACAGAGGAAATTTTGTTGGAACAAAGGGATTTGGGGAAAGGGCGTACTGTGCTGGCTTTAGGGTTCAATCAACCCACATATTTTGTGAGGGTTGGGTCCGGACCTGACCCGGTCCGGCCCAACATTTTGTTTTTTTTTGTTTTTCTTTATTTGTTTGTTCTTTTTGACACATCTTTTTGTTATTAGCTTTGGCCTGTTAACTATCATTACCTTTCAGCCCAGCCCAAATTACTCTCTTTACTGCCTCCAATAATTATTAGTTACAACATTTCAATTTATTTATTTTAAATACTAATTAGTTTAGTTAATTTAGTTATTTTATATATTTAATTAAATAATTATGTTTGATTTAACTAGATAATCTTAATTATTTAGATTAATTTCAGACTTAATTTAATAACTTTAGCAATTTCAATTTGTTTAGATTTATTTTATAACTTTAGAACTTCTAATTAGTGTAGATACATTTTGATAACTTTAGAATTTTAATTTAGTCTTAGAGTTTTAATCTTTAGTTTAGAATTAATTTAGTTTAGTATTAATTTAGATTTATTTTATAACTTTTTGTTTTAGCTTTAGTTTAGTAAACTTTAGAATTTTATTATGTGTTGTAGTATTATTTTAGTAACTTTAGGATTTTATTTCATTTAGATTTGACTTAGTAAATTTTAGAGTTTTATTTGTTTTAGTTTTGACTTAGTAAACTTTAGAATTTTATTTTGTTTTAGTCTTATTTTAGTAACTTTAGGATTTTATTTCATTTAGATTTGACTTAGTAAATTTTAGAGTTTTATTTGTTTTAGTTTTTGACTTAGTAAACTTTAGAATATTATTTTGTTTTAGTTTTATTTTAGTAACTTTAGGATTTTATTTCATTTAGATTTGACTTAGTAAACTTTAGAATTTTATTTTGTTTTAGTTTTATTTTAGTAACTTTAGGATTTTATTTCATTTAGATTTGACTTAGTAAATTTTAGAATTTTATTTGTTTTAGTTTTAATTTAGTAAACTTTAGAATTTTATTTGATTTTATTTAAGTTAACTTTAGAATTTTAGTTGTTAGTTTTAGTTTAGGAACTTTAGAACTTTATTTGATTTAGAATTAGTTTAATAAGTTTAGAATTTTAGTTGTTTAGAATTAGTTTAATATTCTTTTAGAATTTTATTTGATTTAGATTTAGTTTAGTAACTTTGGAACTTTTTTTTGTTTTAGATTAGCAACCTTGAAATTTTTATTTAGTTTAGATTTAATTTACTAATTTTAAAATGTTTAATTTAGCTTAGATTTAATTTAGTAATTTTAGAACTATTTTTGCAACCTTAGAATTTGTAGTTAGTTTAGAATTTTTTTAGTAAGTAATCTTAAATTTTTAATATAGTTTAAATAACTTCTTTAGATAATTAGTTACATTCTCTTTTATTTTATTTAAATATCTTTGTCATTTTAATTTCTCGATGCCTTTAGGTCATTAATCTGTTTCGTTATATTTATTTTCTTGTGAATTCTGATTGCTTATATTTTGATGTCTATTTTATTTTGCTTGCTCGATTTAATCCAAGGGAAAGAATTAATTTGTTGACTTCATGTCATCGAGTATCTAATACGATTATGTGAAATCCCTTCACACCCTTTTTTAGTTTTATTAATCTTAAGACGAATCTCCTACAAATCAATTTTTAAACTCACACCCCTTTTAAGTCAAAACTTCAACACTAGGTCGTCGTATCTTCAAAATCTCTCCAACACCGATTTTTAGCCAAACGAACCATTTTAATCAAACAAACAATTTTAACCAAAAAACAGATATTTCAAAAAGGTTCCTGCGGAGTACCGCAGATGCATTGGGTGCTAATACCTTCCCATTGTATAATCAACCCCCGAACTCTCGATCTCTTTCAAAAATGCATTGTACTTTCATTACTTTCAAGTATTATTTTATATTGCATATTTTAGGGTTTTATTTCGCACTTTTCCCTTTTCCCTTGGAAATAATAAAGCGCGGTGGCGACTCTTGCTTTTATGAGTCAAGTTAATTAATAGCTTGATCTCTGATTTTCACCGCTACAGAATTGGCGACTCTGCTGGGGAATAATTGACCTCTTGCTGGTCCATCCCTAAGTGGGTTAAGCCTAATTTATTTTATCTGTTTTATCATTATTTGATTGTATAATATTTATGTATATATTATGATTATTTGGGTGTTGATAATATTTACAAAGGACAAGTCCTATACCCGGACTAAGTTACACTTAGGAATAGGACGGGCGGTATAGTCATGTTAACTTTGAGGGAGTAATCCCGAAGAAGGAGGCATGAGATCCCCTACTCAGTGGAAGGCCCTTTTGAACGTAATATTTGTTTACCGAGTAATCGGGAAGACATTATTATTTTCGACCTGGGAGCCAGAGAAGCTGGGAACCGTAGAACCCTAACCCATCTTGGCCTTTTAGGTGTAGCGCGAAGATTATAACGGAGTAATCCGGAAGTAATTGTTAAGCGATGCTACGCTCGGATGAGTTTCTCTTGAGAATATTGCTGATTATTGAGTAATCAAGACGTTGGTAATATCCGAAGGAGGAATGTAGACTCCGGGAACTCTTAGAACCTTGTTCTACAGGTGTGATTAAACCGTTAGTACATACCTTAGGGGTGTTCCTTACCTTGACTCCATGCTCGTGACGTTGAACCTTTCGACTTTATTTGTGACCTTGCTTGTGGTTGTTGCATAGCCATGCATTCATGCATCCATAAAACCCTTTTCACTTGACTTTGAAGGAATTTGGAGGTCTTTCTTTGTAAACATCACAAGTTTCATCAAGCTCAATGGATCTTGGGTGTTGATAGGGCGAAAACCCTAATCCACCAAAATGGATGATTGATCTTGATGATAACTTGATCAATGTTTGGAGCCAATTTAAAATTCATCTTCTATCTTCATACTTTGATGTTTACAACTTAATATCTTGAGTTCCTTGAAAATCAAATAAAAACTCTCTTTTGCATATCACACATCATTCTACATTTTTTTGTTTCACTTTCAAAGGTCTTTTTCCGAGTCTTATTTTTCCTTTGGTCTCACCAGTACAACACTCGCGCTAAGAGAACAATGGAGAATATCAAGCAAGAGGTTTCTGAACTCCGTAGAGAGGTGACTAATTTGAAAGCTGGTATGGATCACTCAACTGTTTTGGTTGAAATTTTGGTTGCTGCCCAAGTCAATCCTTCTAAGAAGGAGGAAGCGAGGATAAAAGTATTCACTGATTGTCATTCAAGGACGTTGGTTTTGAAGTTCAAATCAAGCACATGTCGAAGAGTAAACACGATTGATGGTCACTTTGAGTTTTGAAGGATGTTTTCGGTGATTCAAGTCCAGATGGAAAGCCTTCCCCGATTATTAACTTATTTATGCTTTTGTAATTTTTCTTGTTTATCAAAACATTGTTTGCATGTAAGAACTTGTTTGCATCTGAATGATTATCTTAATACAATGAGTATGTTTGTCTTGAAGAAATTCATTCGTTTCACTCATATTTGTTTTCAAATTTTAAATTGATTTTGCACTATGATACCAAATTGTTGCTCATTCTCTTGCCTAGGTAGAGATTGAAGGGAGGATGATGATCTAAAGAACACAAAATCTCTGGTTGTTTGCTTTTGGATAAAATCTTGCTGATGATGTACAAGCATTGTTTCAAATCCCTAAACACCGGAGATATAAGGAAGATAATCCCTTGCTAACCCCTTTTGAGCCTTTGAAGAAGAAGTTTCTTTTCTATACGAGAAAAAACCTTGAATTTTAACCTGGGGCATGGTAGTTTTTAGTTAATCTGACTGAGTGTTCAAAATTCATAAGGAATATGTTTTTTGAAGAGAAACTACGAGGGCTATCCTTCATGTATAATGAATCTAGAGGATGTGGAACCACAATGTTATCCCTCATTCATCAAGAAACGAGGCAATCACAATCCTCTCAACAAGCAAAGACAAGCTAATGTCACACATTTTGTTCAAAAAGTCAAAAATCAAGAAAAAGAAAAGCCTGCTAAGTAAAAAAAAACATGAAAACGTGTGACTTAGGCAAAATTAAGGCATCCTGCTGGACTATCAATTCAAAAAATTAGTTCAGGCAAAAGTTAGGGAAAATAAAATTGCAAAGAAAAGGAATGCAAAGAAAAGTCCTCAGCAAAGAACAAATTGGTGACTACAAACACGAAGACATGAGGGTGGTTTCTACTCCGAAAGCCTCGTCGTTTCCTTGACCGTCACAAAATCCTTTTGAGAGATGAACACTCATGTTGAATTAACTGAACATAGGGTTGGAGAACATCATGAATAATGGGTGGGCACCAAATATTTTGAGCCTTAAAATCTTTTTTCTAAAAACCATGAACCAGACCACATTACAACCTTCAAAAGTCCTAATTGAAGCAAGGTTATTTTGAAAGCATACTTCAATGAGATAGTGTTCCTGACTCCCATGAATGTTCTAAATAGTTATGTTGGTATCATATGTTTTTCCTATACAAAAATAAATGGTGCTTTAACTCGCAAAATTTGTGCGATATCTTTCAAAATCTTCAAGACTTACATAACTGTTGCATTATAATTTTCATTCTCATTGTAAACTTTTTCTAACTGCAAAACATTTGTTTGATATCAAGGAAGCTCACATAAGCACCAGTGATGAGTTTATTCTTTTAAGGCCTGAAACTATGTTAAGTAATTGGCGGATCACGTCAAGAAAAAATCATATCCATGGGCATGTCACCTGAAGACCGTAAGCACGAACATGTTGCTTCTCCCAGTTAATGCTTTCCCAACTTGTTTACCCTTTATTGGGGCAAAATTTGAAGACTTTGTTGTGCCAACTACAGTCAATCTGGGGCAATCA